TGCACCAAACAATTGCAAACAATGCGTACAATTGAGGCATAGACTAGATATAGTATGAATAAGAATTGCTTTTTCGATATGATCCTTCTAGGTGTTCGTCACTTTCGCACCATATGTGTTCATTTTGTTTCCTTTTTGTATGTGTGTGAGGGGCAATAACTCCCTTTCGATGTTGTTTACTCATGACTCCCGAAATACTTGAACCCCAGTGATTCTCGTCCGCTTACATTTATTCCTTAGGTTTTCTAATGGTGCAAAACGTTTACTTCGACTAATTTGTACAAATTTCCACTAGTTTTCCGCTTAGTTTAAGTGTTTTCTGTTGATTGAGATTAATTTTTATCCGGAGGATTCCCAGGCTGGTGTATACACATGATTCCTGGAGTTGCTGCCACCTCGTATGTGTGTGTGGTGTGTGTCAGAAAGAGAAGGAGAGAGGGGTATGAGAGTGGGAAATGTGCACGAGTGCGTGTGTGTGTTCGTGTGTGATGAGAACATGACACGTGTGTGTGTGTGTGTGTGTGTGTGTGTGTGTGTGTGTGTGTGTGTGTGGAGGTGGGTTGGTGGGTGGGTGTTTGAGAGGTGTTGCGCGTGTTCCCGTTCCCCCTTTCCGCACATTCTGTGAGTTGTAATCTCACCCCGATCCCCCTTATCGTGTGTCATTCGTCTCGTTTCCGCCGTTCTCTCTACGGCCTGCCTCTCTCCGTCTGCCTGTCTGTCCACCCCCCCCCCTCCCCACAAGTCGCCCCGTCCTCCTTTCACCCTCGCCGTCTACCGAACTGAGCCTACCGAAAGGAAAGAATAACAGTTTTGCGCATCATTTGCTTCAGCTACTCTCACGCATCAGCCACACACCGAATCGGGCGACAAGGGGAGAACCCGACAAGGGTCTCCGCATGACAAGCAATATTCAATATTTTTCGATATTTTTTCAGACAGCTTTCACATGTTCTTGGTTCGCGGTAGACCTGCGACGTTTATGCAACCCGTACTCTGACAGTGACAGTATGACATATTTCGGGATACTGTTGCTCTCTTGTATCTAATTCGCTGAGTGAACGCTGTGTATCGGAGGTGTATGGTACTGTGCTACCTAATCACAAAGCCAAGTTTCGGCTCGAAAACGTTTGTGAAACAGGTTGAGGCTAATAACATGGCATACAAATCCGAAACTATAGCTTCAAGAAACGCAAAGAAAAGTAAGAATCATTTTTATTGAAAAAAATATGAAAGGTGAGTCATTAACTCCGAGCTCCGACGCGCTCAGATCGGAAATTCACTGCACTCTACCATTTAGAGGTTGAAAAGGACTCAGCCTTTGTTACGCCACAGTACTACTACTAACGTTTCAATCCTTGCAGGACCCAGCTCGCTTGCTACTGGTACCACATTCACCTGCTCTCTCCCCGATTCCATTCTAATGAAATGCATTCACGCCTCACGAAACAAAGCCTGGCGTAATCCGCGGCAATTTGAGTCAATTTGCAGCACTGGAACGTCTCGCTTTGTGCAGACCCACGCACCATGTCATCGCCGAACTGTGCGATTCTGCAATTACATCTCACCTCCTCGGCATATCGATAGAGCCCTTCCCCAGTGGATGACAGTCCTCTGTAACACATACCGGAGGACAGTTACGAACACGGCTCCGAGAGTGTTGGTAAACTGACGTACTACCTACAAAAGAGAAACCACACATTAAATTATGTCCTCAAGTTTTTGGGGTTGCGAATTCTCTAGTTTGCAAAGGCAACTTCTCTGCAATATTTTTACATTGTTCCCTCTTATAATAAGTCAATAATGCGAGGTCTTTGGAAGGGCAAAATATTATAAATGGCGGGATTTGTTGGCCTTTAATATTTTTAAATGGTTGGTGCCAGCTGCTGATATGATGCTAACACCTGTTGTGCCCCAGCAGTCTGCTGCTCGCTTGTAAACAAATCGGCTCGCAAGTGTTTACTTCATAGCAGGACATGCCAATTCTTTTGGTAATCCATAATTTTCTATTAATAATTAACTTTATTCTCCGTTATTACACTATTATTCTAACTATCTAAAGGTTCAACTATCTTGAATAATCTTTGACATTTTTGTGCCCTTCCCAAAGGCATTACAATTTCAAACCCCTGGAAAGGCATGAGGACCTTCCTTTGTTTTTCCAAAGTGAGTAAAATACAAAGTGTCAGTCGGCGGAAGGGGTGAATCCTTGACGCGTGAGTAGTGACGGGGATGAAAGTGGTTACACACACTAGGAAGGACCTCTTCTGATGATAAAAGGACTCGAGGGGACGACACAGGCCAAAGGGGAGGGCGAGGGCAGCACAGAGGCTGACCCAGCAGGGACATGTAAATGATGGCCACATCAGCAATTCCTGGTCGGAGTGGCCCGGCCGTACTGCCCCCGTCTCACCGTGACGTGGAGGAGGGGGGGGTGCTTCCGGCCCAACCGTCGGCGGGGGAGGAGGGGGGAGGGGG